CTTTTTCGAGGCCAGGATATTATCAAACATCTCCATTCTTTCAGCCCAATAGCCTCTTCCTAAGGAAACAAGCCATTGGGTGTAGATGGGTGTATAAGTTAAACATAGGGCAGATGGTAGTGTTGAGAGGTATAAAGCAAGACTGGTCGTTAAAGGATACACTCAGCAAGCTGGTGTAGATTATACAGAGACCTTCTCCCCAGTGGTCAAGATGACTACTGTGAGGTCACTCATTGCTATAGCAGCAAAGAAAAAGGTGGCATATTTCACAGCTTGATGTGAATAATGCATTTCTCCATGGAGATTTGCATGAGGAGGTATACATGCAAACTCCTCCAGGTCTTGAAGTGTCCTCTTCACACCTAGTGTGTAAACTAAATAAATCACTTTATGGTCTAAAGCAGGCAAGTAGGCAGTGGTATGATAAACTAACTGAAGTGCTGTATTCCAGAGGGTATGTGCACTCCATGCATGATTATTCCTTATTTTACAGAAAACAGAACTCCTCTGTTGTTTTTGTAGCAGTATATGTGGATGATGTGTTGCTCACAGGGACTGATTCTAAAGAAATTGATCAGCTCAAAGTTTTCTTACATGATAAGTTTAAAATCAAAGATTTGGGACAGCTGCATTACTTCTTGGGGCTGGAGATCCTTTACAAGTCAGATGGCATTGTTGTATCTCAAAGGAAGTTTGTTTTAGACTTATTGAAAGACTATGAATGTCTCCATTGTCCACCCCTGACTTCTCCTCTGGATCCTACAATCAAGCTGAAAGCCAAACAGGGAACCCCACTTTCTGATCCTACTTTCTATAGAAAGTTAATTGGCAAGTTAAATTTTCTCACCAATACCAGGCTGGACATAGCTTATGGGGTTCAGCATCTCAGTCAATTCATGCAAGATCCTAGGGAGCCCCATTTGAAGGCAGCCTATCGCATGTTGAGATACCTAAAAGGAGATCCCACTTTGGGTCTTTATTTCAGAAATGAAGGTGATCTTTCTCTGACTGCATATTGTGACTCTGATTGGGCAGCCTGTCCAGATTCCAGAAGGTCTGTATCCGGGTACATTGTGTTCCTAGGTGGAAGCCCAATAAGTTGGAAGTCCAAGAAACAGGAAACTATTTCACTCTCCTCAGCAGAAGCAGAATATAGAGCTCTCAGAAAGGTTGTTGGTGAGCTTGTTTGGCTGTCCAGGCTACTTGAAGAACTTACAGTGTCACCTCATCTACCCATACCTGTCCATTGTGATAGTTTATCTGCTCTACACATTGCTAGGAACCCTGTCTTCTATGAAAGAACCAAGCATATTGAAGTGGATTGCCATTTTGTGCGCACCAAGCTCCAAGAGGGTCTCATTTCACTACATCACATTGGGACTGGTCAACAACTTGCTGACGTTCTCACTAAAGCCCTCACTGGAATCAAACATTCTTCTGTACTTGGCAAGTTGGGTGTGACACCTTCACCTCCAACTTGAGGGGGGGTTGTGTATATTTTATGTATATCACTGTATATCTATTTGTATCAAATGCTGAGTCAGCATTATTAGTTAGTAGTCAATATGTATATATGTACTGAGAAATACTATTCTTTTAGTTTTTTGGGAAAAATATCTTTTTGGTTAAACCGACTTTACTCTTCCCCTCTTCATTCTCTTTCTCTTCGAGAAACTTCCTCGACTTCCATTGGAAGGAGCTCGGAGCTCCTCCATCTCTCAAACCTTTTCTCACACTAAAAAGAAAATAAAATTATAAATACAACTGAAAAAAGGAAAACACCTATAGTTAAGGATTATGACTTTGCCTTTGTAGTAGAGGTACTGTGGTAGTGGCCGAACCAGAATCCATGCCTATGTCTTCAACACAAATTTCCTCTTTAGCTTTTCCCCACATCACAGAGTAGAAACCCAAAGCTATGATCGTTCCACCAATTACACTGCAAATATTAATATTTTATTCAAAAAGCAATTAGTCATCAACTAATAAATTAAAGACTAAAAGAAACAATTAATCCTCAAGTTTTTGCAGTTAAAAAGACTAACTTCCCAACATGAAGAACATCACCAAGAAAAGTAAGCCCCAATATTACAGCAGCTACCATTCCAAGTGGCTTAACCATTACAACAAAAACAGGTCCCTTCTTCTTTAATGCCCAAACAAAAATAAGACTTCTAAGGAAAACCATCAAAATTGCCTGCAAAAACATAAAGTAAGCTCTTTTTATTATAGTGTTAAGTACATCCATCTTTAATTAGCAGCAGTTTGATTATTACTTCAGCTAGTTTAGCAGGCTTAACTAACGTGTGATATGAATATATTGGTCTAACTTTCAGATTGTAATTAAATAGAATATGAAGTATATTTTTCTTCAAAAGTTAATTACTTACAGCGTAACAAATAGTAATCAACTCCAAATGTGGCTTAAGTCTCCAAGAACAAAAGGTCTAACTAGAGAGGTAGTTGAGAAATCATCAAGGGGAATGAGACTATGGCCGAGAACAAGTCATAGTGGCGGTAACTCTACCTAGAAGACTGGAGATCACAAGAGCTAGGTTCAGGGAGATCAAAGAAAGTCATTAATGACGGTTCAACATTGTCAACTAAATTTTTGGTCCATTCTCGTGATGAGACAATGTTCAGTACCAAGGATAAAGCATTAAGGCTTTTTAATGATTTCTAAATTTGATACGAGGTATATCAAATAGTGTATCTACGGGATGACACGTTTAGGAATCACCTATATAAGTGTGAAGTGTTAGCCGCTTCAAGGAGAACTTTGTAAGGCCAGTTCTCTACGCACTTATGAAACCAGGCGGTGTTCATGGCTAAAACGAACACAACAATGAGAACCAAAGACGGTTAAGGATTGGTTGTGTGACTTATGGTTGTCTAGGTATACACCAAAGTTCGACGGTTGAAAGATATCAAATCTACCGATTGACCGAGTATATCCGACAAAAGTTCACTACGGAAAGTTCAAAGGGAAACCTACTTATCCAGATGCAATTAATCCTTGCTTGTGAATCACACAGTTTTTCATGCATATTTTCGTGGTATAGCCATTCCCCATTCATGTGGGGGATTGTTGAGATTTTAAGTATGTTAAATGCTTAAAAGAGGGTGAATGGAAAATGGAGGAAAATGAAATTTTTAAATGAAATTTTAAGTTTTTCCCTTGATGAATGGAACATTGTCACATATTGGAAGAGTAAGAGGTTTTTTAAGGTATATAAGCAATTGCTCTTCTTCTAGCTCTTAAAGAGTTGAGAAGAAGGCAAGTCTCGCGCCGTCGTCGTCATCGCTCGGCTCGACTTCGGATTTAGATTTGGATTTGGATTTGGTTTTGGATTTGGTCAAATGATCGATTGATTGATTAATTTTTTGGACAAAATTTATTTGTTAATAGTAAAATGTTAACAGAAATGTTATTAAATATTCGGTTTAATAACAGAATATTAATATTAAAATAAATATTAATATTAAATCCAATCAGTTTTCCATTTTTCAGTTGTGTAACTGAAAATTAAACTACCCTCTTCAATTTTCCCTCTTTATTTTGTAAAAATTGCACGGGGCGCCCTATTTGGGCGCCCCTTTTTAACCTGTAGCCGCTTTGTCTTTCTGTTGGCACCCCTACCCATTTTTTTGTTAAAAGCCATTTGAAAAGACTATTTTGCCCTTCTTTATTAAAAGACTACTTTCTCTCCAAGTATACGCTAGTCCTCTACTGTCTCTGTCTCTCTCTCCCGTTATTCGCATTTTTTTGATTTGCTCTTCTCTGAAATCAAACGGTTTTCGTCGTTGTTTCGAATTTTCAACTGCTAGTCGTCGTTGTTCCCACATTACGATTTAATCAGAGGTACATTGCATTAACTTTCTGGGTTTTATTTTACGATTTAATTTCTGGTTTTGGGTTTTGATAGTCATGTATTTATGATAGGGTTTAGTTTGATAAGTTCATTAGCTTTACTTTTACGTTTGTATTTTTAGGTTTTTTGAACGAGTGTTTATGTTGTTAATGAAAATTCTATAAATAGATGATAGGGTTTATGTTGTGATTAGACGTTCAAATTTTTAAAAATTTTCAGAGTTAAACAGATGATAATGATACCTTAGATAGGAGCTGAAGTTTTTTCATGTTTTGGCATTATTTTTGGATTTGAATTTGCGTTTTGTTTTTTTTTTTTTTGCTGAATGTTTTGTGCTTGTATGGAGAACCAGAATTAAGTTTTTGTGTTTGTAACGGGTGAATTCCATCTTTAGGAGCTGAAGTTTTTGTATTTGTAACTGGTGAAGTCCATCTTTAGGAGATGAAGTTTTTGTATTTGTTACTGGTGAACTTCAGCTCTAGAGCTGAAGTTTTTGTTTTATACCTGTCGAACTTCAGCTCTAGAGCTGAAGTTTTTTTGTAAATTTCGAACTTCAGCGCTGAAGTTTTTTTGTAAATTTCGAACTTCAGCTCTGGAGCTGAAGTTTTTGTTTTATACCTGTCGAACTTCAGCTCTAGAGCTGAAGTTTTTTTGTAAATTTCGAACTTCAGCTTTAGAGCTGAAGTTTTTGTTTTATACCTGTCGAACTTCAGCTCTAAAGCTGAAGTTTTTTTTGTAAATTTCGAACTTCGGCTCTGGAGCTGAAGTTTTTGTTTTATACCCGTCGAACTTCAGCTCTAGAGCTGAAGTTTTTGTTTTATACTTGTCGAACTTAAGCCTTCTTAGGTGTTGAAGTTTTAAATGATCTTTTTTATAATGTCCTGATGTTATTATTTGTATCTTTTACTTTTTTTGGCCAGATGGCTCCTAAAACACCTAAAGATCCTAAAGCACCTAAAGATCCTAAAGTAGCTAAAGAAGGCAAAGCACCTAAAAAACCTAGACTACCTGTAGTAGCCCAAGGTCCTTATGTCCCTGAGCCTCCACCTACAAGACCAGGACAAAAATATTTTTGAGTTTACAGAATGGTTTAACTCTAAGGGTTACTGGAAGGGGAACCATGATTTGAAGAGTTTAATTGCAACTTTCTTGACTCCTGCACAACAGGATAAGCTTAGTAATGGTCCATTTAAACACATTATTGCTATGGAGAATTTCAAATGCAGCATGAAGTTGGTTCATTGTCTGTGTCTTTCTCGAATATTCACGAATGATCGAGACCATTAGTTTCAAGATTTTTGGGCATGATGTTTCCTTCACCCTTGAAGACTTTCACATTATGTGTGGTTTGCGGATCACAACACATAATATTGAAAAACCATTTAATCGAGAGTGCACTATTCTGAAGCGCTATTTTGGTAAGTCCAATGGTGTGTATCTGAAAGATATTCGAAGTTTTATGACTCGCAATGTAATTCCAACGAATGTTGTGAATCATGCACACGTATGCGAGAGTGATGATGATGCAGTTAGGCTTATGGAAATTCTTATTGTAGAGTCTATTCTATTTGGGAAAAATACTGATTCATGTGTGAATGAGGAGTATGCATCTATCGTTGAAGACGAGATGTGACGACCCGGCCAGTCATCTTAAGAATTAACGCCCCGATCCCCCATTAACTGATTACCCTAAGTTCATTTTTGCTCTTTTGGTTTGCCGGGACGTTCGGTGTTGAGTTTCAGAGAGTTTTGGGACACATAGTCCCTAAATGAGAGCTTAACTGTTGAAAGGTGGTCCGTAGTCAGAACAGTGTGAAGACGACCTCGAAATGGAAATCCGATGGTTCCGTTAGCTCCGTTAGGTAATTTCGGGGTTGGAGGCGTGTTCGGAATGTATTTTGGAAGTCCGTAGCTCATTTAGGCTTGAAATGCCGAAGTTTGAATTTTTTGAAGTTTCCGGTCCGATAGTGAGTTTTTGATCCGAGGGTCGGATTGGAATTCTGGAAGTTGCAGTAGCTCCGTCATGTCATTTGGGATGTGTGTGCAAAATTTCAGGCCATTCGGACGTGTTTTGGTTAGGTTTTTGATCGGAAGTGTATTTTGATAAAATTTGAAGTTCTTAGGCTCAAATCCTTGTTTAATTCGAGTTTCCGGCGTTGTTTTAGGTGATTTAAGGATTGGTACAAGTTTGAATGAGGTATTAGGTGTTATTGGTGCTTTTGGTGGAGGTCCCGGGGGCCTCGGGATGATTTCGGGTGGTCAACGGGAAAATTTGAGAAGTGTTGCAGCAGTTGAAGTTTTTCTCTTCTGGTATTTTCGCTTCTGCTGCTTGGGAACCGCAGAAGCGGAGCCGCAGAAGCGGCCTGGTCATCGCAGGAGCGGAATTTGGGCTCCCTCAGCTTTTTCGCAGGTGCGAAAGTCCAACCACAGATTCGGTTACGCACCTGCGAGACTTTCATCGCGGATGCGGCTCTGGGCAATTAATTGGAAACCGCAGAAGCGGTATTTTCTCTGCAGAAGAGGAATCCGCAGGTGCGGCATGAGACCGCAGAAGCGGAAGCTGGCAAAAAGGAAAAGGTCGCAGAAGCGGCACTTGGTCCGCAGAAGCG